GAATCATACACTTCTGAATCATACACTGCTGAATCATACATTCCTGAATCATACACTGATGAATCATACACCGCTGAATCATACACCGATGAATCATACACTGATGAATCATACACTGATGAATCATACACTGATGAATCATACACTCCTGAATCATACACTGCTGAATCATACACTGCTGAATCATACACCGCTGAATCATACACCGCTGAATCATACACTGATGAATCATACACTGCTGAATCATACACTGATGAATCATACACTGCTGAATCATACACTGCTGAATCATACATTCCTGAATCATACACTGATGAATCATACACCGCTGAATCATACACTGATGAATCATACACTGATGAATCATACACTGATGAATCATACACTGCTGAATCATACATTCCTGAATCATACACTGATGAATCATACACCGCTGAATCATACACTGATGAATCATACACTGATGAATCATACACTGATGAATCATACACTCCTGAATCATACACTGCTGAATCATACACTGCTGAATCATACACTGATGAATCATACACTGCTGAATCATACACTGATGAATCATACACCGCTGAATCATACACCGATGAATCATACACTGATGAATCATACACGGTAAGACCAGAGATAGTTAATAACATCAGTTGTCTTTCAGGTTCGTTGTCTTTGACACTTGACAGACGTTACGAGGAGCGCCGGGACGCCCTTCGTTTCGAGTGAAACAACTTTCCCAGGCACGTCGTGATTTAATTAAGCTGGTTTGGCCCTAGTGAATGCTGGGTAATCAGCCGAGCCACGCTTCACCGGCCGCGCGAGCAGGTGGAGAAACGCTGATAAACACACAATTATGCAGAAGTAAATTGGTTTGGCGAAGAGCGTCGCGGCGAGGACGGTTCAGGAACACGTAATCGTGTGTGTGTGAAGCCGCGTTATCGGCTCGTTCCAGGTCTATGGCTTCCTCTGTGAACGTTCGAGACGTACAAACACACTTCAGCTTTCCTTCTGTGACTCAGTCTCTCTGCTGATATTTCTGTTCCTCGTTTTTTTCCCTCCGTCTCTCACTTTTACACCCTCAATCCGTTGCTTTTCCCCCCTCGTGTCGTTCCTTCATGTCCTCGGGTCGTGTTTTGCCACTTCTTTTGCTTCACCATCCATAAACTGGCTTTAGTTTCCATCACTCTTCATTTGTTTTAATTGAGCGGGGCTAGTTGTCACGACTCCAATGAAAACTTCTCATGGTGGGTTTATTTTTACAAGCCAGTTTCTGTAGAGACTCAAACCGTGATGTTTTGCCTACAAAAAAAAGCCCTATTGAACGTTTCCACTGTTACCAACCAGGACAAATGTAAGTTCATTATTTACTCCCCATTATGTCATTCCAAACACATTTTTCCACAAAACACACATGGTTTGAGGAATCATTCATGTCTGCAGCAGAAGTGCTGCGTTTGCGCTGCCGCTGAGCCAGAAAAAGGCCATTATCATCTATTAAACGCTTCACAAAGTCTTTTTAGACACTTTTTGTGTTACAAATATACATATTATCACAGAAAAACTGGGATAAAAGTTTATAATTCGAATATAAACACTGATGTCTACGGTTAATGATCAAAATAGAGCAAATCTTCTTTAAAAAGTAACATGGCGCTTTAAATAAAGATTGTATCGATTACATCGTTACACCAGTAGGTGGCGACAAGTGACTGTTAAAAACACGTGTTTGTCATTGAATCATTCAAGAGATTCGTTCAAAAACGCTGAATCATCCAGTAATGAAACAAGTGAAGTATTTATGAGTGAGTCATTGAATCATTCATTCAAGAGATTCGTTCAAAAACGCTGAATCATCCAGTAATGAAACAAGTGAAGTATTTATGAGTGAGTCATTGAATCATTCATTCAAGAGATTCGTTCAAAAACGCTGAATCATCCAGTAATGAAACAAGTGAAGTATTTATGAGTGAGTCATTGAATCATTCATTCAAGAGATTCGTTCAAAAACGCTGAATCATCCAGTAATGAAACAAGTGAAGTATTTATAGTTCACGTAGTGTAACAGCGCAGCGCTTCTGGGTTGTACATCACACACATGACCAGCGTCGGCCAATAGTGAGCCTGTGTGTGACGTACACCAGAAGCGCTGCGCTGTTACACTACGTGAATCACTCGAGGCCCACAGAGAAGGAAATGAATAGTTGAATAAAGTTGTTATTTTTGTTTGTTTTTGCGCACAGAAAGTATTCTCGTCGCTTGATAAACTTAAGGTTGAGCCACTGTCGTCACTCGGACTATTTTAACGATGTCTTTAATAACTTTCTGGGCCGGCAAGTTCCGATCCCTCAGAAGCCTATGGAGGAGTGATCCAGCTCTCAGATTTAATCAATAATATCTTAATTTGTGTTCGGAAGATGAATGAAAGTCTTACAGGGTTGAACAACATGAGGGAGAGTAATTACTGACAGAGTTTCATTTTGGGGTGAACTAACCCTTTAAGAGTTTTGTTTTTGAGATATAGACTTGTGACAACTTGCCCCAGTCTCACTGACTGGTTATTGATTTATTTTCTCTTATCATTTAAACCATCATTTTAAATCCCTGTGCTTCACAGTGTAGCCTGTGTGATTTAAATGAGTTTGTGCTGATGTTCACAGAAGATGTCGTGGTTTGGAAGCAGTTTAGATGTTTTTGCAGCTTCAGGTTCTTTGAAGCCGTTTCTTCAGCTCCAGGTTTGTGGACTTTGGCACTCGTGTTGCGAAGCAAATTCTAACCAGACCAAAACCATGACAAAAAAATGTCATGATGACTTGAAATAAAATAAACATTAGCTAAAATAAAGAAATATATGAAAGGTTATTTTGTTTCAGCTAGTTGCCAAGGCATTTCTCATTTTCATCTACAGTAGTTTAACTTGATGTACTAAAATAACTAAAAACAAAAACTTGAAAATCAAGCGTTTAATGTTGTTTATGTGTCTATGTGGTGTTTTTAATACGCTTTAAGACACACCATGTGTAAGTTCATAAGTCGCCAGCATTGCTGAGTATTTTCTGCTTAAAACTGCAGTGAACCAAAGACAGTCTCAAAAACACGGTTTGAAATCGCTGGTGTTTCTGACGTCACAAACGACCTTGTAACCAATCAGATCAACGTGTGATCGTCAACCAGTGGATCTCTGAGCTGAGTGAGTGAGTGGAGGCGGGGCTCATTTGCATATTCATAGAACCGCGCATACTAAATGAGGCAAGGGTGTCGAGTTACATTCAAGATATTTTAAGGCATGAAGGAAAAAAATGTATATACTGTATGTAATTTTGGTGATCAAAGATGAATTATTAAATACAATACGCGAGACTTTAATAAAAGCTATATAGAAATATTTATATATTACATCAATGATATTAACCCTGATTGGTTTGTAGAGCCGTTCAGTCAGAGGGTTTGCCTGAAATTGTGAAATGAGAAATATATGTAGATGAATCATAAATATATTGAGTTCATATTGTACTGCGGTCGTCATCTGTTTTATTACCCGAGGCTGTGATGTTCTGGTCAGATTGCTCTGTTCTTCATGGTTTGTGACATTGAGGGCACTCAAACTGGTATTGATCAGACTAATGGAGCTCACAAACCTCTCGCTCAGCCTTTAAACGCACTGGAATCTGTATCTTTATATGAAATATATATGAGTCATTGTATTTTCCCCCATTTATTTATTTATTTATTTTATTTTCATAAGTTTTTGATTTTTTAGTTTAACTTTTAATTTCATAAATCAAATACGTTTTATTTTGTGCAGTTTGTGACAGCTCTTTACTATCCTGCTAATAAAAAAAAGTGGCAAAACCCCTCAAAAACCAATAGATTTGAAATCTATTAGTGTTGTGTGTCTGTTCATTAGATCCTCCGAGAAAATAACTCTACACACGCTCTTATGTAACTCAGGGTAAAGTCTCGGGTGGTCCAGTAATCGAAGAGACAGGAGCTCTAGAAGAGGCTCTCAACTTAGAAAGGTTTTGGTTTATATACTCGTTCTCAGTCCTGTGTTGATGTTTGATATGAGAGACGGGGATGAAGGATGGCAGCGTATCAAAAAGCCCTGGTCTGAGTGACACTTCCAGGAACGAGGCGGTTTTCAGAGTCAAGTGTGATGTTGATTTTCTGCTCATTCTGCAGATGAAAACCTCATGGCCTGCAGACGTCCGGGTATGAAAGGTCTTTATGTGTGGAGAGAGTGTGTATTAATGCTCAGGTCTCGTTCTCCTGCGCATACACACGTGTTGAAAGGTCATAATGTACTTTCTCTAATGTACAAATATCTGAATATCGTGCAAAAGTTCATTTATTTCAGTAATTCAACTTAAAAGGTGAAACTAATATATTATATAGACTCATTACATGCACAGTGAGATATTTCAAGCCTTTATTTGTTATAATTTTGATAATTATGGCTTACAGCTTATGAAGTAGAATATTATGAAAAGGTTTTCATAAGCTGTAAGCCATAATTATCAAAATTATAACAAATAAAGGCTTGAAATATCTCACTTTGCATGAAATGAGTCTATATAATATATTAGTTTCACCTTTTAAGTTGAATTACTGAAATAAATGAACTTTTGCACCATTTTTCGAGTTTCACCTGTACTCAATGTTTCTCTAATGAAGATTTCAGATGACGCAAACTCTGAATCAACATGTTTTCTAAATGTCACGATCGAAATAATGTTAACAAACAAGTATTCATTACTTCAATGAGCTCATTGTATCTGCATTAAATTATTACAATTGTTTAAATTATTACATTTTTCGCTAACTGTGATTTTGCATTTGTACATTTCTGAAATACATAACTTAGACATTTACCTCTGATAACAGATCTCTCTAAATTGTAAAATGGACATTTTCTGTAAAGCTGCTTTGAAATGATGTGAAAAGCGCTGTATAGATAAACGTGAATTGAATTAATGTGCAGTTTTGTTGTGTTCCAGGTCCACACCAAGTTCCACTGCCGCCTGGCTCACGCTCCCGGATCGGACACGTCTTGCCTCTCGTTCTCCTACGACGGAGTAACTCTCGCGTCTCGAGGAGGTGAGAGTCTGAGCGCAAGCTCACTGTATATATGATCTGAAAATACAGAGAAAACATGTTGAGACAAGGAAAAACATTCTTTGGCATATATACAGTTTATATACAGTATTTTATTTATTTAATATGGAGATAGCAATAACATTGGACGAACCAGATGCATTGTTTAAAGAAGTGTTATAGCACATGTGCTAATTTTCAACACCTGTCCATAGGGGCTTTTACAACAAATAAAAATGCATTGTTAAACAAGACAAGGCACATTTTACACATGAGAACAACTTTGGTATGGTTTTTCAATATATGTATAAAATTATTTGATGTATGTGTGTGTAAATACAGAATTTAATTTTACATTAATTATAATTATTTATCTAATTGTTTATAATAAAACTTTAAGTGTATTTGTTGTATGTATTTTATTAATATATACTGTATATATTTTTGAAAAACATGACATATATATATATTAGGGCTGTCAGTTAAACGCGTTATTAACGGCGTTAACGCAAACCCATTTTAACGGCGTCCATTTTTTTATCGCGCGATTAACGTCTTTTTGGCCTAGCAAACTTTGTAGTTTTTTTCACCTGCTTTTGCAACAGGACGAGGCATGCGCGGCGCTATGAAACCCATTCATTTCAATGGCTTGCGCCGCGCGAGGACGTTTTGTTGCTTCGTCGACCAAAGCGCAAGCGGAAACAACAACAGACACGACGCACACACTTGTTTGGGCTTGCGAGCCGGCCAAATAGTTGGTTAACGTTACGTTTTGAGTGGATGACGAGTGCGAGACGCCGAAATGGATGCCAATAAGATTCTGAATTGAAAGTTTACTTTAAAAAAGTTGCCAAATGGTTCCATTGACGATACCAAAGTGATCTGTGTGTGTTGTCATTGTGAACTGAGCTATCATCATCGCAGCACGTCCAGTCTGAAACACCACTTGATGGCCAAGCACACACACACACACACACACACAGCTGATGCGAAGCTCCGCCCCCTCGTCAATATCAGGACCTCATCAGTATTTCTTTCACCCTTTTATTGATGGACAGTGTTACATTGTGTGAGAGATTATTTGCTCCAAGTGAGAATGTTAGTGTGAAATTGAACAGTATATGCCAATGTTGTTTTCAATAAAAAACATTTGCACAAAGCAAGCCGATCCACTTTTCCATGTTGATAAGGGCATTAAAATGAGAAAAAATAATGGGACTAAAAGAAACATTTAGAATAGATAAATATATGTTAAATATTTTATATGTATTCTAATATTTTATATAATTTGAACTATTTAATATATATTAAATAGTTAAATATTTTAATCGTTTGACAGCACATATATATATATACATATACACACTTTAAATTAATTTTATTATTTTTATATTTATCTAATCATTTATAATATACAGTATATATAACCTTATATATAAGGTTAAAAAGTTTATGTTTTTATATTTTGTATATATATATATATACACTACCATTCACAAGTTTTGGATCGGTAAGATTTTTAAGATTTTAGAGTGGCCTTTTATTGTGGACAGCCTAAGGCACACCTGTGCAATAATCCTGTCTAATCAGCGTCTTGATATGCCACACCTGTGAGGTGGACGGATTATCTCGGCAAAGGAGAAGTGCTCACTTACACAGATTTGTGAACAATATTTGAGAGAAATAGGCCTTTTGTGTACATAGAAAAGGTCTTAGATCTTTGAGTTCAGCTCATGAAAAATGGGGGCAAAAACAAAAGTGTTGCGTTTATAATTTTGTTCTGTGTAGTTCGTATATGTGTAAATATATTTTTGATAATGTACAATATTAAAAACATGAAACATATTTATATATATACATGTATATGTGTGTTTATATATATATACAATATAGAATCGTATATACAATACAATATATACTATCACGCTTTGTGTTTGTGTTGAGCATATTCTCACATATTCAATATATTTTAGCATTTAAAACATTTAAATGTAATGACAATGAATGAAAAGGGATTCATTCGTTCAAACTATAGTCTCACATAGCCAGATCTATATAGTCTCAAATATACTTTATAATCAAAATATCATATAACAGTATAATTTGTATGACCTCATCTCTCGACATGATGGCGGGATCTTCATTAACAGTATATCAATGCAAGTACAGTTTAGCCTACATGGTCAAATATACTGCTTGTTTGATATGATTCATAATTTATCAAAATTATTCATACCATGAAATAAGATTTCATTCATACCGCCCGCCCACCCCTATCCTGTGTTGACAACTTAATATGTGAGTTTTAAATGCTAAAATATATTGAATATGTGGGAATATGCTGGACACAAACACAAAGCGGGATTGTATCCGGATAATGGAGGTCTTGTCTCACCGTGACCTTTGACCCTGGGATGGAAACGGCCCGTGTGTGAAGGCAAAGCGTTAGTCAGCATGTGTCTGGAGATCCCATCAGAGTCACGATTCTCCGACTCATCCCGCCGGACAATGACATAGATTCAGGAAAGCACCTTCTGACATCATGGGATCATGTGATGTGGTTTTCCAACCGTTGTTTTGTGTGTGTGTGTGTGTGTGTGTGTTCAGGAGACGACACGCTGAAGACGTGGGACATTCGGAGCTTCAGGAAGCCTCTCGGACAAGTTACTGGATTGACCTCCTTCTTTCCCATGTAAATGGAAACTTCCATAAAAAGATGCAACTTTTACACCATTAACACTTCTGCAAATAATGTTATGAAAATTCGTTATTAATTGTTTAGAGATTGTGTGTCCTGACATCAGTCTGATCGATCTCTATTCTTAGCCAACATATTTAGAAAATAGTAATAATTAAATGTATTATTTAATTTAATATAATTTAATATAATATAATATAATTTAACATAATATAATTTGATATAATTTAACATAATATAATTTAAACACAATTTAACATAATATAATTTAACATAATATAATTTGATATAATTTAACATAATATCATTTTATATAATTTAACATAATATAATATAATTTAATTTAACATAATATAATATAATATGCATGTGTCTTTAATGAGCTCATATTAATTGAGAGACTGCATGAAATATTAGTCGTTTTGCAAAAATCATTTGTCAGTTTCAGGATAATTTCAAATTAACTTGTGATGGTACAGAAGTAGTTGTTTTCTTTAAATATGAAAAAATATGATACCCAAATTATGATACCTAAAATATACACTCTCCCTTATGCGTTCATATGAATGCAAAATCTCGATGTTTATTTAAAGAAAGGTGTTTTAAAGAAAGAATAATGCATGTAATAATGTTATAATATAAACTTTTTACATATTCAATGCATTATAATGTGGTGTCGGATATGAATTGGGTGTAGTTTTATTGCAGTATTGTTAAAGTAAGTAAACTGTAAGTAAATCAAGTTCCAACTCACCGAATAATTCAGGGAATTTCAAAAGTGTAATTTCCAGGCCTGGAGAATATGTTTTATGGTTAATATATATATATATATATATATATATATATATATATATATATATATATATATATATATATATATATATATATATATATATATATATATATATATATATATATATATATATATATATTGTTTTAGAGGATTTCCTCAGATAGACTTTTTGAGAAATAGCTGGAAAAGTCATGGAATTAGAAAGTGGTATTTTAATATTATTTATCCTCCACTATAGTACTAATGAATATTTGAGCTTTTATGTTTATATTTTCAGTTTAAGTTTTAGTCTTTTTGTGATCTTTTTTTATTCTTTTTTATTATTATTATTTCAATTTCCTGTTTAGTTTTTTTTTGTGATTTTAGCGCTTAAACATATTTCATTTGGTTGCAAATGCCAAGTTGGCAAGTTTTTAAGTTTAAGTTTTTCTTCTAATATTTATATATATATCAATTAATTAAAATGATTTTGAACAGTTTTAGTTTTGGTGGTAAGCATCATGTCAGTTGTTCATGAAAACACAGCTGATTATGAATTGTTATAAGGCATTATGAATGTAAACACCTGTCCGTGTTTTCTGTTTTTTTTTTTTACTTGAATTATAATTACTTATCCCATTGTTTCCTGGGATCAGGACGGACTGCTGCTTCAGCCCGGACGATAAGCTTCTCCTGACGGGAACATCGGTCAGGAAAGACGAGGGAAACGGGAAGCTGGTGTTCTTCGAGCGACAGTCTCTTCAGAAGGTCTATGAGATTGAAGTGGCCGATACGGTAGGTTATTATTATGAGTTATGCAGTGCTGAGTCTTTACTTATAATGTTTCCAGATCACAAAATATGATTTGACAAAGTGCAATGCATTATGGGAGTTGATTTACACTCGACTGACGGGGAAACTGAGCAGCAGATGTGAAGAGACGCATGCTTCAAATCCACACTTTCCTAATATAATATTTGTTTTATATATAATAAGCTTTATTTTATACATTTATTTCCATGTACATTATCATTATAATTTGTATTATTACTATTATATTATTTGGACATTATTGCAGTTTATATATATATATATATATATATATATATATATATATATATATATATATATATATATATACCGGTGTATATATATATAAACTAAAATTATTCAGAATAATTTTTTATATATATATATATATATTTTTTTTTTTTTTTTTTTTTTTTGCAGATTAATTTATTATACTTTATATTTTAATTATTTATTATTTTATATTTTATGTATACCATTGTTATTCATTTATATATTTGAATATTAGCTTTTATTTTTATATTTTAATAGTTTTAGTAATTTTGACTTGTGCTTTTTTCATTTTTATTAATTTTCTATTTTTCTATTTTCTATTTTTCTAATTTATAAAATTATTTCATTTTTATTAATTTTCTATTTTTCTATTTTCTATTTTTCTAATTTATAAAATTATTTCATATAGATTTTATATGTATTTATTACTATTATTATTACAAATTAAAGGGGTCATATAATGCCATTTTTGTACAAGCTAATATGATTCTTTAGGGTCTAAATTAAAAGTTTGTAATATACTTTAATTAAAAATACTCATTAGTATTGTAAGAAAACACTTATTTTACTTGGTCAAAAACAGCTCTGTTTTCAGCACGCCGTTTCAGTGCATATGCCTTTAAATGATCATGAGCTTTGCTCACCCCGCCTCTCTGTTCTGCGCATACACCGTTTGTAACACAATAACACAATAACCACGCGTTGTTCAGTATAAACGTGGGATTATGAATTATATTGAGAACGTTGTACATAGAAAACATGCCGTAATGTACCCTGAGTGTAAACCGACGCATTCATCGTGAAGCGTGCAGCTAGCGATTTGCAAAGATTATATAAATATTAATATAAAGATTAATAAAACGTTACACTCACTTTAGTTCTTCTGGAGGTTCAGCAGGAACACGAATATCTGGTTCCGATCCTTTTTTCATGAGCAGCTTCTCAGCAAAACCAGCTTTATACTGATCCTCGTTTATAAAGCAGTCTGGTGTGAGAAATGATTCGCGCAAACATGAGAGCATTGACGTTGCTCGTGGGGAATATTCCCTTCGAAAACAAACTCAGCCACTGCGTCTTCAGCGGTTCAGATTTAGGAACATTAAAATGACTGTGTTCGTTATTACACCCGAGAACAGAACACCACAATCGCTTAGACGCCATTCTGCTCATAGACAGTGCTCCAGCATATCAACAATGACCGCGCCGGTCCGCGCAGACTATGATTGACAGGACGAGCGAGGGCGGGTCTGTGTTGAATCACTGCTGTCAATCAACAATCGCGGGAGGGGCTTCCGTTTTATTGACGTCACAAAAACGAACGGCTCAATTTGAGGCAGGGGAAAACATATAAGGAGATTAAAACAAAAACACTGGATGGATTTTTATCATTATATGATGGTTGTGTACAGGCACTGCCAACACACATTTCAGTACAATCAACTTGTAAAAGTGCATGTACCATTATATGACCCCTTTAACAATTTGTATGTTAATCATATATATATATATATATATATATATATATATAATAATTCATTATATTTATATAGCGCTTTTCTAGGCACTCAAAGCGCTTCACATGGAAGGAGGAATCTCCTCAACCACCACCAATGTGCAGCATCCACCTGGATGATGCGACGGCAGCCATATTGCGCCAGAACGCTCACCACACACCAGCTTACTGGTGGAGAGGAGACATAGTTATGAAGCCAATCAGTGTATATATATGGGGATGATTAGGAGGCCATGATGGACAGAGGCCACTGGGCAAATTTGTCCAGGATGCCGGGGTTACACCCCTACTCTTTCGAAAGACATCCTGGGATTTTTTATGACCACAGAGAGTCAGGACCTCGGTTTAACGTCTCATCCGAAGGACGGTGCTCTTTGACAGTATAGTGTCCCCATCACTATACTGGGGCGTTAGGACCCACAGACCACAGGGTGAGCGGCCCCTGCTGGCCTCACTAACACCTCTTCCAGCAGCAACCTGGTTTTCTCAGAAGGTCTCCCATCCAGGTGCTAACCAGACTCAGCCCTGCTTAGCTTCAGTGGGCAACCAGTCTTGGGCTACAGGGTGATATGCCTGCTGGCTATATATTTATTTATCAAATATTTATTATTATTTAATTATTGCAGATGAATATATTATACTTTCTTTTTAAGTATTTGTTTTTATACTTTTTATTGTAGTAGTAGTAGTTTTATAGTAATTATCTACCATATTTATTATTAGATTTAATATCCAGATGTGCATGTACTGGCAGCAAATACATTTATACAGTATCGAGAACCGAAAGAAAGACCGACTGGCGTAAGATCAGCAGTGCGTCTGCAGTGAGGACACGACTCCCGCTGTCTTCCTCATCTGTGTCCCTGTGGAAGTGCTGGGAACGCTGTCTTCCTCATCTGTGTCCCTGTGGAAGTGCTGGGAACGCTGTCTTCCTCATCTGTGTCCCTGTGGAAGTGCTGGGAACGCTGTCTTCCTCATCTGAGTCCCTGTGGAAGTGCTTGGAACGCTGTCTTCCTCATCTGTGTCCCTGTGGAAGTGCTGGGAACGCTGTCTTCCTCATCTGTGTCCCTGTGGAAGTGCTGGGAACGCTGTCTTCCTCATCTGAGTCCCTGTGGAAGTGCTGGGAACGCTGTCTTCCTCATCTGTGTCCCTGTGGAAGTGCTGGGAACGCTGTCTTCCTCATCTGTGTCCCTGTGGAAGTGCTGGGAACGCTGTCTTCCTCATCTGTGTCCCTGTGGAAGTGCTGGGAACGCTGTCTTCCTCATCTGAGTCCCTGTGGAAGTGCTGGGAACGCTGTCTTCCTCATCTGTGTCCCTGTGGAAGTGCTGGGAACGCTGTCTTCCTCATCTGTGTCCCTGTGGAAGTGCTGGGAACGCTGTCTTCCTCATCTGTGTCCCTGTGGAAGTGCTGGGAACGCTGTCTTCCTCATCTGAGTCCCTGTGGAAGTGCTGGGAACGCTGTCTTCCTCATCTGTGTCCCTGTGGAAGTGCTGGGAACGCTGTCTTCCTCATCTGTGTCCCTGTGGAAGTGCTGGGAACGCTGTCTTCCTCATCTGTGTCCCTGTGGAAGTGCTGGGAACGCTGTCTTCCTCATCTGTGTCCCTGTGGAAGTGCTGGGAACGCTGTCTTCCTCATCTGTGTCCCTGTGGAAGTGCTGGGAACGCTGTCTTCCTCATCTGTGTCCCTGTGGAAGTGCTGGGAACGCTGTCTTCCTCATCTGTGTCCCTGTGGAAGCGCTGGGAACGCTGTCTTCCTCATCTGTGTCCCTGTGGAAGTGCTGGGAACGCTGTCTTCCTCATCTGTGTCCCTGTGGAAGTGCTGGGAACGCTGTCTTCCTCATCTGTGTCCCTGTGGAAGCGCTGGGAACGCTGTCTTCCTCATCTGAGTCCCTGTGGAAGCGCTGGGAACGCTGTCTTCCTCATCTGTGTCCCTGTGGAAGCGCTGGGAACGCTGTCTTTCTCATCTGTGTCCCTGTGGAAGTGCTGGGAACGCTGTCTTCCTCATCTGTGTCCCTGTGGAAGTGCTGGGAACGCTGTCTTCCTCATCTGTGTCCCTGTGGAAGCGCTGGGAACGCTGTCTTCCTCATCTGTGTCCCTGTGGAAGCGCTGGGAACGCTGTCTTCCTCATCTGTGTCCCTGTGGAAGCGCTGGGAACGCTGTCTTCCTCATCTGTGTCCCTGTGGAAGCGCTGGGAACGCTGTCTTCCTCATCTGTGTCCCTGTGGAAGTGCTGGGAACGTTGTCTTCCTCATCTGAGTGCCTGTGGAAGCGCTGGGAACGCTGTCTTCCTCATCTGTGTCCCTGTGGAAGCGCTGGGAACGCTGTCCTCCTCATCTGTGTCCCTGTGGAAGCGCTGGGAACGCTGTCTTCCTCATCTGTGTCCCTGTGGAAGTGCTGGGAACGCTGTCTTCCTCATCTGTGTCCCTGTGGAAGTGCTGGGAACGTTGTCTTCCTCATCTGAGTCCCTGTGGAAGTGCTGGGAACGCTGTCTTCCTCATCTGTGTCCCTGTGGAAGCGCTGGGAACGCTGTCTTCCTCATCTGTGTCCCTGTGGAAGTGCTGGGAACGCTGTCTTCCTCATCTGTGTCCCTGTGGAAGTGCTGGGAACGCTGTCTTTCTCATCTGTGTCCCTGTGGAAGCGCTGGGAACGCTGTCTTCCTCATCTGTGTCCCTGTGGAAGCGCTGGGAACGCTGTCCTCCTCATCTGTGTCCCTGTGGAAGTGCTGGGAACGCTGTCTTTCTCATCTGTGTCCCTGTGGAAGTGCTGGGAACGCTGTCTTCCTCATCTGTGTCCCTGTGGAAGCGCTGGGAACGTTGTCTTCCTCATCTGAGTCCCTGTGGAAGTGCTGGGAACGCTGTCTTCCTCATCTGTGTCCCTGTGGAAGCGCTGGGAACGCTGTCTTCCTCATCTGTGTCCCTGTGGAAGCGCTGGGAACGCTGTCTTCCTCATCTGTGTCCCTGTGGAAGCGCTGGGAACGCTGTCTTTCTCATCTGTGTCCCTGTGGAAGTGCTGGGAACGCTGTCTTCCTCATCTGTGTCCCTGTGGAAGCGCTGGGAACGTTGTCTTCCTCATCTGAGTCCCTGTGGAAGTGCTGGGAACGCTGTCTTCCTCATCTGTGTCCCTGTGGAAGCGCTGGGAACGCTGTCTTCCTCATCTGTGTCCCTGTGGAAGTGCTGGGAACGCTGTCTTCCTCATCTGTGTC